TAAAGTTACTAAGAAGCGGTAAATGGTAAATTAGCCTAATTGGAATCTCATTACGGACTTATCAAGGGAAATGCACAATGAGTTTCGAATTCAGCTAAATCCATAACGCGCTTTGTCAAAAAGGAAAAATTGAGACTGAAAACAAAAAAACTTTTTGAGTATTAACAGACAAAAATACCTAATATAACTTAAGTCTCAATTTTTCTTTTTCATTTCCCAATGCACCCGCTGGTTAAAAGTGAATGAGAAACACATTAATGGTGCAAGAAAAAGAACTATACAAACTGGCCTGGTAAGGCAAATGTACTGAATAAAATAAATAGCAAATAGCTATTAGTCAACATATACACAATTTTAAGGGAGTACCTACTGAGCTTGAAGAGTTAAAACTTTGTAAAAGAAGGAATAAAAACTTTTAAAATTTAAACAAAAAAGCACGTCAAATTGGGTCTTTCTATGACCAAAATTAATACAAGGGAAAGAAAAAATCTTGAACATACCTGTATCTATGACTTCGGACTGTGAAAAGCTATGAGCTAAAAATGGCAGTAAAAGGTGCTAGAACAAGTTAGTAAGAGGAGTGCCACCAGAAATGATAAGAATTAAACTCATCAATTAGGCGAGATGACACTTAAGGGTAAACAAATGTCATGAAGCTATGGCCAATGAGACGTAACAGACAGTGGGGAAAAACTTGAGTCACCCCCCCTTTTTTGACGCAGGAAACTGTCCTAATAAAAGAACGGGTATTATTAGCATTCACAATTTTGATCACTTCATTGAAATCAACATTGCGAATGCTAATAATATGGGCAATCGCTGTAAAGTTTGTGTGAAGTTCCATAGTGATCACATACCTCATTAATTTAAGTACTTTTAGCATATTTTTAGCTCAGTTTGTTAATGAACCAAATCTGATATCATTCACATAATTTATAAAAATTAAATGTGTTTCTATCTTTGCACATAACGCTTGTTTTTTATGCATAAGCATACTTGCTATCTTCAGGTGTAATTTGGTGTTAATCAAAGCTTTACTTCTCTATTCTTTATAATTTTACTGATGTGTGCTTACTTTTGGAAGCCAGTGCATTGTTATGCACTGGTTTCAATTGTAATTCAATTGCACTGGCACAATTGAAAGTTTCAATAGTAAAACTTTAATAAGAGCAATATTTTATGACATCTCAAAGTCAACTGTATAACCTAATTATATTATTTATTGAACGATTTGGGTTAAAAATCATGCAATCAAAATAATAGTTTCATATTTTAACAATAAACCATTTACTACTAAAATCTGTAATATCTATTCCATACCTAGACAATAACAGCTATTTCATATGATATAGTGACTTGTACTTGCAACTATTTGATAACCATATTCAATGGAAAACTGAAATAAAATACCTTAGGTAATACTTGATAAAAATTATGCTTAGAAACTATCTTAGAGACTTATGGTGAAAAAAAAATAACTGCAGTAAAAATTCGACCACTATTACAGCAAAACAGCTGTCTTTTATTTAAAAAGCAAAATAGTACTTTAAAAGTTACTTTTAAGACTGCAGTTCTTTATTCAAATTCTACTTGCAGCCAAGTGGCCAAAACCAACCTAAAAAGACCATAAATCCTAAAAGAAATTACTAACGCAGCACGGTATATCCAAATAATATCCTACACAATTATTTTAAGCTAAGTACAAACAAGTAATAAAACCAAACCCTTGCAACAAATTTCTACAGAACAATTGAACAACATTTAAACTACTTAATCAGTATGCATTGTAAATTACCACATCCACAGGGAAAACATTCACTTCCTGCTAATATAGCAAAATTAAAACCTTGAAAATTTAAGATGACCACTCATATCTAACATACTGGCTCTTCCTTGGCAGAAAACTGTTGCAAGCAAAATAGAATATACCAGTTGTTTAAGGCACATTTATTCCAATCTCAATGACTAAAATGAAAAAGTTGATATAATTCACAAAGGACAGGAGAAAAGCCAGAGAACAGAGTTCTAGAAACTTCTATTCAGCCCCTTTTCAAATTTTGCTTACATATGCTGTCCCAGAAGAAAAGAAAGAAAATTGAAGATAAATTAACATTTAAAGTTTAATTTGAGCAATGCATTGCATAAAGAGTTATATTGAAGAAATATATATATTTCTACAAATTAAAATATAAAACAATCAACTGAAAATTTTTTGATAAAAATTTAGCAATCAATAAAAATAAGTCTTCAACTTCATGTTGAGTCTGTTACCTACAGATTATCTTATCCCAATTAGTTTGTAAATCTGCCTAAAGGGGCCAATACATATTCAAAAAAGTCAAACTTAGCTTGACTACTTTATTTATGTCACTGAATATGTACTGCCCCTTTTAGACAGATTTAGAAACTAATTTTGGGTAAAATAATCTCAAGGTAACGGACCTGACATGGAGTGAAAGACAAATTATTTTTTCTATTGATTTGTTAAAGAAAAAAACTTCTGTAATTAAATTTTATTATTAATATAAAACGCTATTAGTTCATATTTGAAATAATTAAACTTCTTTATTAAAAAAATAAATTAGGTCACCAAAAAAAGAGGTTGAATAACATGAAACTTGAAAGGGGCAGGCATTTTTGCCTACGATCACACATTTTAAGATTTATATCTAAAAAATTTCAATTAATTTTTCTTTATATTTTGAATTGTAGAAATATATTTATAGTACTCTTTATGCAGTAATGCACTACTAAAATTAAACTTTAAACATAACTTATCTTGAATTTTCTTTCTTTTCTTCTGAAACAAAGTAGAAAAAGGTAAGCAAAATTTGAAAATGGCCCATTCATAAATCTGCATATCAGATTCCAGATATCATTTTCATCCGATTTTTATGTTATTGAAAATGAGAGAGAGACATATTGGAATATAAAAAAATGCAATTAAGAATGATAGCATGTGCTAATAATTTGAAACCATTTAACTACAGTGCTTTAAGCAACACATCGTTCTGTGAATAAGCTGCAGACATACTTCATGAACTTTCATAAAAAGGAATGGATGCCAAAGTTTTATTGATTGCTCTGAAGTTTTGGTTAAATAATCTCAAACTGTCAGAATAGGTTGCAATGCAAAAAGCAACATTAAAGCTGCATTCACAAATTTGAGTAGTACTGAAAATTTCTTCAAAACTACCTTATTCAGATGGCAAAATAGCTTGTTGTCATATTGGAAAAGTAAAAACATCTACCCTTTGAGTTCAACAGCCAAAGTAGGCTGCAACCAACTCCATGCTAGAAGTCATTTACAAATTCTTAATTTATTAGAGTCAAATATAGGAAATAACATATAAGTCATTTTCTCTTGAAGAAAAATTATCCACACTTAATGAAAGTTTTATATATAAAATTCAAGGCATACTAAAAAGTTTGCATGACTCAATATTCTTTGAACAGTTAATTCCAAACCCCTAATACATTTCATCTAAAGTTTTGCCACATTTTATTATACTTTCTGCAATTATTTTATAATTAGAATTTTCCCATGCTGTGTTACTTAAAATGAATAAGAAATTTTGCCTATGATCATAGAAGATTATGTAACACATATTATAAAAACATTACTATTCATAAAACCACTTTTTGTTTTCATAAGAGGCACATGATTCCTCATAGCCAACAATAAAAAAACCTAGAGTTATCTCTCAGATCACATAATTGACTAATGAGAATATCAATTTCACTGATTCAGGATCACAGCAGGGTTAACTCTGATCTATGCAAGAACTGAATCAAATTAGATAACCAAAGAATATGTATTATTAAGAAGGAAAACCTCTGCAACAGGAGTGGCTCCGTCTGAACGTAGAGGGAAATAGCTGTGCATGTGCGAAATATCTGTCGTCAAAGCTCGAAGCTGGCATCAAAGTTTGAAGGTCAAGTTCATCAAGAGTTTATGAAACGAATATCGTTTTAAATTTCATTAAACTTTAAAAAAAAAAAAAGAAAATATTTTTTTGTGCAAGTAAATTAATTAATGGATTAGTTACTTTGAGCACAAAAAAGTCCAAAAATCCGAGTTTAAATTATGGCGAAAAGTCAGAGAACAAATGTTTTGTCAAAGAATGTTTCTTCTTAACATATGTTCCCCAATTTCCTGTACACATAGTGGATGGGGAAAATCTTACCAGATTCCTTGGCGAATTTTCCCTTCACTTTCCAGCAATGTAGGTTTACATTATGTCCATGGAAACTTTCCTTCTTAACACAGACATTCTTTGGGTTCACACTATGGCAATTTCATCATATCATGCCTTTCATCAAAAGCATGCAAAATATACATTAGTATTGGTTTTTGTTAAATTTGTTAGCGTACCTATATAGAATAGTATTCTTGACTTTGTTAAAGAGGAAAATTTTCATTTAAATTAATCAGCAGTTAAACAAACCATTTGAAAGCCAATAAAGAGAATTACCTTTATGTAATATATTCTTACTTTTATCTCAATAAAAAACAATTCAATAATTTTCAAATTTTTACCTAAAATAATTCAGCAACTCTAATTTAAAAAGTTAAATTTAGTTTATATTTTTAAACAGATTATAAACATTATTATAAACATAACAATATTATAAACATTTATTTGAACTGTCTGCAAACTTCTCAAGAATATTCCAATTCTGTGTCACCAGCATGTCTTAATTGTAGCAACAAGGGGAGGGATTTGAATTGCTGAATTATTTTAAGTAAAAAATGGAAAATTATTGAATATAAAATAAAACATAAAAACATATCTAAAAATGAAGTTGTTATAAAAATTTTATTATTATAGTAGATTTACTAACAACAGTTAATATATTATTTATCATTTTCTCCAAAGCCAGTACCAGAATATGATTATTTTAAACTCTTCAGCAGTACTTTAAGTTCTAGAGTATTTATAGTCATCTGAGTCTACTGACTACCTTTGGTGCTTAAAAGCAAAGTAATAAATGACACAACATTTTTCATTACCTTTATTATAATTTGCCTGTTAGCATTTACAAGGAAGTGCAACCATTACTCCAAAATAAATCTACAAATTGCATACATATATATTTAGAGAAATACATTATAGAAATATACACAGTTTCATATTATTTCACATCTTGATGCTTAAAAGGCATCTTTCAGAAATAATTTATTCTTTCAGAAACTGCAAGTTCATCAACATCTAATCATTTATTAATGACTAAATGAAATATTCTTTAAAATAATTACTATTATAAAGCTAACCAAATATTGCAGATTTGATTTTTTCCAAGAAACTCTTTTTTTCTTCTTTGCCTGTATATTCATATTTGCCTAAAATGAATAAACAAAGACATAAACTTAATAAGTAATTACACACACACACAGACAAAAAAAAAAAAAAATATATCCTATAAACAATGAAGGTCATGCTGCAATTCCAGAATAGAATATACCTTGTGTAAAAACACAAAAATGTCGATAAAATACCAAATGTGGCTATTTCATTTATACCAATACTTCATCATTATGACAACTCTTCATCCTGAGTTTTCTTAATGAAATTTTTCATGATGCCTTTTTCTAAGTTAATTTGCACCACAGCTGAATTTGAGTTTCTTCTTCAATTCAAGAGTTATGTTTGTAGAATTAGTGTGCATTCTGTGGCAAAAATCATTTCTTTTTTATGTCAGTGGATGGGGGGGGGGAACACAGATGTTTGAATAAATTCTTCAGAATTCTGTAGCCATTTAAATTGCCTTTGTTCATAAAAGCGGGCATCTTCTGCTTGCTCCCATTTTAATAATAATAAAGGTTATTTATTAATCATTATATAGATCTTTCATAACAGTAAAGTCTCCCTTTTGATCTTATTATTAAGTTGTGTTAGCATTTGAAAATTCTGTACGAGTTACTAACGAAGTTTGAGAATTTTAGCCACTGAAAAACTAAAATATGAGAACTGAACTTGAATAGTACATGGATAAAAAATTAAATACTTCAAATGCTTGGTCTATAAAAATTACAAATTTGAGGAGCATGAATCGCTTTCATTGGTAAATTTTAAATTTGATTTTGTTGAATTTCTGGGATTGCAGAAGTACAGAAACAATATGGGGAAGCTTTATCCTCTTGATTTATATTTACCTCAATTTTAATTGCTAATTCTGGTATTTAAAATTAGATTAATTTGTTGTTCTTATACAAAATTGATAACAAGCTGCCATTTTGAAAATTATTTTTCCCTTTGGTACATAATCTTGGTAAGAGTTTTTTAATAACGTCAAGAGCTAACCCTATTCTGGAAAGAACCCCACATAAATTTGGTAAATAGCTATAAAAATGACATGAAACATATTTCCTACAAACAAGATTCTTTTTAAACAAGAGGTGTTTACAAAACAATTTCATGCACTTGACTACTGTAGATTAGGGATCTTCAATCTCACACCCAAGAGCCACATCAATAAATTTATAAAGATCCATGGGCCAATGTCTCTCACATAAGTAGCATAGGCAGAAAATTTATAAAAGAGAGGGATGTTTACAAGACTACAATTAATTTTAATGGGAAGAGATGGGGCTACTGATTTTTAAAATATCCAATATCTTGTTAAATAAAGTTCAATGGAAGTTGAATCAATATACTTTGTATTTTTTAATTATAAAACAGAATAAAGGTGACATGTTATATAGTGCATAATGATGTTACAAAATCCAATGACAATAAAAAACACATTACTGATGGGATGGAAATTACTACAGCCTTAAAATTGAAAAAATTGGCATTATTTTTGCTTTATTAAAAGCTTCAATATCAGGTAGAATCTATGTTGCTGTAATTCATGAAGTATCCTCCAAATGTTGAATTGTCAGACGTGTCCTTCATTTGATTAGAAAACTGTTTACATAATAAATTAATGCCAAAGGCAGAACATATGAAAAATGCATGTTTACATATTCCTTAAATATTACATATATTTACATACAGATACTTGTCTTTGAACATGTACTACGAGTAAAAATCAATTAACGTAGGATTTTCAAGAAACTTGCATTTTACTGTAGAGTTACACAATTTCACTTTCGGAATTGAAATGCACTGTATATAATCGTCTGAGTTCCATGTTGTAGTTTTATTCATTAAATCCATCAATTTTGGAAAGTGAATGGAATTCTTATTTAGCAATTGACTTTCCCACAGTATTAATTTTGTTTCAAAAGATTTCACACAGTCTTAATGATAATGAACAAGTAAACCCTTCTCCAGTATGCAGCAGTTAAGGTTATTGAAAGGACCAATATATCAACAAGAAATTCAAAGTCTCTTAACCATTTCTCATCATGGAACTTGTAAATGGACTTCCCTTTAGATTCCATTACTTGCTGATATTCATTCTTTAGAAGCAGTTCAACCAACATACAAAACCATCATGTTAAAATTCCAAATCATTCAAGAATTGTTAAAACTGCCAGTGATTAAGCCCTTTGGATAAAAATTAAGTACTTTTACAACAATAGTCATCACAAGTTCTGAGATGGATTTCTTGGAGATACGTTAGAAAACCATGAAAGTAATATTTCCATATGCTTTCGTATCAGATTTGAGTAATGTTATTACACCTGTTTCTAGTCTGGTCATAGAAGGAGCACCATCTGTGGTTAATGCAGATTATATTGCTCAAGTTTAACTCACATTTAGTTAAGGTATTTTTTTCCAACTCAAATGCAAATCTAATGATCTCTGTGCTGTACCTTTAACTGCAATAACATTGGCTAATTTAATTACAATTGTGGAGTTTCTATCAATGCACAAATAAAAATGGTTGCTTGTGCAGTACCTGTTGCATTCATTGATTCATTCATTGCTACAGAATAAAACATAAAGTTCTTGCATCCAGATTTTAACTTATTAATTATATTTGCTATCCTCCATGCATCTTGCTACTGTCACACCAGAAAAGCTACTGTTCGAAATAGCTTGAGCTTATGATAAGAAAAGCACATCCAACTGCACATTGAGGACATCTTTTCATAAACTTTCTATCAATGAAAGGTTTTCTACATTTAGCAATGTTTTCTGCTACCATGTAGCTAACATGAACATTATTCTTTGGACTCTTTATTCATTCTGAAGAAAAAAAAGACTGCTGACAATTTTAAACTGCTAAAACCCTGCTTATCACCATATTATCAAGACGTTTACATCTGCCTATTCCTTTGCCAACTGACTGTAACATAAGGAGAAATAGAATTCCATTCATTCCCCCCTTCATACTTTTAAACAAGATGCATATGAAAGATGTCACCACAGTGTGGCACTTAAAATACACTAAACATCAACAAAAGCAGAGATGGGTGAGATAAATATCTCACAAATTCATTATGGGGAAAATCAAAGGAAAACAAAGAATTTGAGGCAATTGCTTGACAGTTTTGTTTCTTAACCTCTCATCAGAAAAGCTCGGCAGGCTACTTCAATATCTTTGGAAGACCTTGGGTTGAATATCTCTGCAGCAGTTGTAATGCAAAATATTTTAGAAACACACTTAATATTTATTTAAAATGAGGCAAAAATGTAACTTATAATGTCATAGATTCTGAATAAAATTTTATCAATTTTGTCATCAAAATCAATAGTTTTATCGAAAATCCATGCCACATTGTGCTTTTTTTTATCCTAATTTGAAATTTTATATTGGCATTATTTTCTTACAATTAAGCATACATTTATTATTGATTTACTAATCAAACAAAATTTTAAAAAAATGTAAATATTTCATGCAAACATTAAGTATGGGCTGAGATACTAATTATTTATTCTAATACACTAATTAATGTCCAGTGCTAATTAGTCAGGAAACAGATAATTGCATAAAGGCTCTTGAATTAATGCATAAATTACATAAAAATAAAAAACTCGAGAGATTTCAAATGAGCTGTATACAATGCAGATTAAAATGTAGTTAATGAACATATATATACATAGGAAAGAGAGAGCAAGATCCAGTTTCTTCTGCACAGAAAAATTTTAATAGCTATGCTGAGATTTTTGTCAGGCTAATAGGGGGTAAAATGTAATAATGCAATATACATAAAAAATATCATGATTTCATAAAATCACATATCCTGATCATTCGCTTTCTCCATCCATACTTCTGTCGTGTTTCCAGATTCTTTAACTCCAGAAATAATCCCCTCCAAAATAAATAAATAAAATTAAATTAAAAAAAAGATCTAATACTGTTATTTTCTCCTTAGAAGAAACCCCCTACTTTATTCTATCAGGGATAATTTCATGAATTAATCCTACATTTAATAATGAGATTTGATACAAAGATAACTAAATATGTGGATAATTGGTAAAACACTGCACACAGATAATCAGGAGTTGTAAATACCTTGCTATATTCCATAATAGAGACACACCATTTTGCTACACATTGAAAGATGTGTTTGGCATTACAAACAAAATGCTTTGATTATAAGAATAAATTTTAAAACACACTTCTTTATCTATGTTATAAGTCTAAGAAACAAGCATTCAAAAGAAAATGTAAGTTAAATTTATATATATAAAAAAAAAAATGATTAAAATCAAAAGGTCACAAATTTTATTTTTATTTTCTGACTGAAAATGTTATAACTGTTAATTTATGTATTTACAAGATTTATAGGCTATCAAAGTGGGAGGGGAATCAAAAGGACAAGACTAGATAATGTGCTTTATAAATAAAAAAATAATGTGTTGCATATTTGAACAATTATTAATACACTTTAGATGTTGTATGAAAATCATAAAAGATAAAATAAAAGATATGTACTCTTTATTACTTTTAGATGAGGAAATGCCTTCTATTGTGCCAGGTGTATCAGTTTCCATTTCAGCATAGGCTTTTATTAATTCATATCTCAATTTATCAAGTTTCCTAGAATGAGAAAAATTATTATTTGTAATAATTTAACAATACAGTATTGAAAAATATAATATTTGCATTGCAATAAGTGTAAGATGGCACATAAAGTTTGTGTACAAGGCATAAATACAGTATTCATAAGAGCACATTGATGGTGTTATGAGTATTGTATTTATGCCTATGTATGCACTGTATTTATCAGTGTACTCATAACAGTACACTGATGGTGATGCAATACACTAAACTGGAGTGCCTGTGATGAAATCTTTTAAGTTATTTTAATGCACCAAATAAAAACCAGACTTTCACCTGCCTTTTGCAATGATGTCACTTCATGGAAAATCCATATGGTAAAAGGGTTTTATCAACCAGGTGCCCATGCAAGATTGAATTTGCATTTTTGAAAATGCCTCATATAAATGTCTAGAGATAACAGATTTTTGTCAATAATATCTCCGATTCCCTTCAAGCATTTATTATACATACAATATGACTTCCTAAATTATTATCAGTCATAAAGACAGCTGTCACATTCCTTGTTACTCAGTTTTAATAAAAACTAATAAAAAAATACCAGTATAACATATTGCTTCAGTCTAAAATGCTAGTCAAATTTATTTGCAGTTATTTTGTGAAAACTTACTGGAAAATTATTCAAATTCATCATTCAGAAACTTTTAAAATTAATTACATTACTCTGCAGACCTACTGACAGGCATTACAGTCATATCATAAATTCACATTTCAGTTTTGCTGCATTGTATTACCATACATTCTCTGTGTAATTGCTGCTTTGTATTACCATAATCTCTGTTTAATTGGCATTAGCCTGTAACATGGCTAATACCAATTACACAGAGATATAATGCCATTTTGCTCTCTTCCACATCGCTAAATTAAAAAACTTTTAGTATTATCCTTATATTGAAAAAGACCTTTAATTTACTCTAAAAAAAAATCAGAAAGTATACTGATACTTTTGTGGGATTGTTTTCAGCAGGGATGACTTTTCCTGCTCTTACCAGTTAGCTGACGTAGTCCCATAAAGGGCCTGATTTTCATAAAAACCGGAAGGAACTTCCCCAATGAGATAAAACTCCTAGGGAAAGAAGAAAATAAAGCACTTTGTTTTTAAGAGACGAAATGAAAGTCCTTGTAAGCATAGCAAACAGACAGATTCTGTGCTATAAAGAAAGAGACGGTTCAAAAAGGTGTCAGGGCTTGGCTGGGCTGCTTCACATGGTGTGCACATTGTTTTATCATTCATAGTAAAGGGAAAGTTAATTTTTCTATGTGTCGAACATTTCAAAGAGTGAGAGAGCCAGCTACTGTATGGAGTATTTCAAAATCCTAAACTTAGAAGCTAATTAAGAAAATTTGTGAATGAAATCTCTAAAGTCCTTTTCAGCAAAAATGTTCTTTGCACAGAATGAAGAGGATACTTTTGTACAAGGGGTGAGTCAACTGCAGGCTGTGCTTTCCTATTGTCTGGCACAATAAAGGAGGTTTCTTCAATCTTAACTTGTTCCTTCAAAGATGATGAATTTTGCACTTTGGAGAAAAATACACAGTCTTTGGATAAAATAATGTCTTGTAATTTGCATCTCACACAAGCCGGTTTCTTGTCTTTAGGTAGCTGAGCAAGTACAGGTTAGGTGACCTGCACCACACTTAAGACACCTAGGTTTGTTGTTACAAAACACTTGTCCATGTCTTTAACACTGACATTGGAAATGCACAACAGGATGATTACCCTGACAGTAATAACTTATCTTCACTTACAACTGTGAATACATTTGAGAGAGTAGATTTTCCTGCCTTCATTTGTGCAGCATGACAGGAAGAAAACAGAGAGTTTCTCTTCTTTCATGGAAGTTTTCCTGGTGAACTGCTTGATTTTTAACACTGGAAAGCCATGTTATTTAAGCTCCAGCAGGATATCCTCTTCCATGGGTCGGCAGGGAACATCTGAAGACAGCTTTGATGGAAGACTGTACTTTACTCCTGAAAGTGCTGATACTTCTTCTTTATAAGGCAGGCTAAGGCCTTATCCTGCATGGCACTGGAATGTTAAATACAAATCTTTTCTCTGGATGTTTGTCCCATATAGTCCTGAATCTTATGGTCAGAGAAAAGGCATCTAATACCTTTCCAGGTAGCCTCCAGTCTAGAGCAGATGATCACAGGTAATCTTGCTTTCGGCAGTCTTTTCCTCAAGAACAATTTCCATTTGTACAGGCTCATTCAATGGCACTTGATTTTCACAAATAGGAACTAAATCTGGAGCTAACACTTCAAATCAGAAATCGAAATCACTAGAGTAGCTTCCTAAGTAAGAGTCAGTTTTTTTTTTTTTTTTAAAGGAAGCCCAGACAGTTTTGTTTTCTTTCACCTTAGGTGTAATATTCTTCCTGTAACCTTCGGTAGGAGAAGCATCTGAAGTAGAAATGAGAGCTGGAAGTTTTCCATATGGATATCTTAACAGTTGAAAATCAAGAGACTCATCACACTAGATCAAAAATAATGAAATCTAGCTCCATGTCTGTGAGGACTGACCCTGTCAGCACTAAATGTATTCTGCATATTAGCAACATTATTGAGGTATTTAGATACCTTAAGCTACCTTTTTTGTCAATGTTTAATTACTGTAAAACTTTCCTTGCATCAACAATATCAATCAGAAAATGCTTGGAAGCCATAGTTGGATCACAAAGCGACAATTCTGATAAGATCAGATGCAAAAATATGAGAAGTTCATCAGATTAGTTGACCAAGGGGCAAACACACCTTCACGCTCAACAGCTAAACATCTACTCCTCCCTCAGAGAGCAGTCCGATTTGGAGTCCTTTTATTTGCTAATGGAATGCACAGTTTATTTGTTTATTATCTACAGAAATTACAGGCAATAAGCAAATATTAAAATAGAACGAAAGTCTCATATTATTACATAATATAATAGTCTCACATAATCCACACTGTGATATGTAAGAAACACAATTAGGAGACAATGATGCCCACCTATTAGATGCCTCTATAATAAAATAGGAACTATTTCTAGTCTTAGGAGTGGCCAATGCTGAATAGACAAGTATCCATCATTGGATTTAAAAAAAAAAAAAAAAAAAAAATTACTAAATAGGTGAAGGAAAGGAATGTCGGATGAACAGCTTAATCGCTTCTGTTTTCAATACCGATTCTACAATCTTTCATTGGATGAGCTGTACCAATACTCCCTATCAAAAATTCCAGATGCAATTCTATGTAAAGATTTTGAGAAAATTTTGATGTTGCAGCACTGTAATTTAATGATTTGTAGGTTTTATAAAACACAGGCATAGTGATATTTACATTGATGTATTTAGTGTAACTAATTCGTGTTTTGCTTCCTTGTACACAGTAAAGGAAGTATTGTAATTGTGAAATTTTGGAATATCATATTTTAATGAAAATACTCATTTTCACCATTCCCGAATCTATTTGAAAGACGTTTTTGCATTACATCTGTTAGTATGGACATAACAAAGGATGCTTATTATTTTCATGAGGTCTGTACATACATATGTATCTTGAATAATTCAAAGATGAGCAGCCGTAGAACGTACAGATTTTGTGCATGCAACTGCTATATAATGTGCACCTCCCTTTTTGAAGCTAACACTTCAAAAGCCACTTTCCGGTGGCTGCAGCAAGGAAGGATCTAAGAAGAGTCGAAGTAGCGGTTCTATTTCTGAGTGCACATAATGTCAAATATTGGTCATCGGCCCGTCGACATTGGCCATCTTGCTGTCGTGATTTGAATTGCCTCAAAGTCTTAACACGAAGGACTCGCATTTAGCCATCTGGCATTCTGTTGCTTGGATATGACGGCCACACAATGTTTATAAGTATTTATACACGGTCATAAATTAAGAAAAAATCACAAAAATCACGATTACTGGAAAAGTTACATGTAAAATTTGATGAAACTTACCCACAATATAAAACACACAGTAAGGTATCAAATAACATAAAAAGAAATTACCAGACAGATGTGGTAGTATAGAAATTAGCACATGTATAAAATGAACAAATCGAAGGTGTCAGTTTGCTATAAGAAAAGTAACTTCAATATGGAATATGATCGCCTCTAGAAGCAATACAGCACATACAGCGATGAGTGATGCTTTCAATTATGCGGTCTATCAGTTCCATAGGAAGCGAGAGCCATTGCTCTTGGAGCGCAGTTTCAAGCGCGGCAAGGGTCTTGGGGTGGATTGAGAGCAGCTAGATGTCTCCTTTAAAGCATCCCAAACGTGCTTGATAGGATTCAAGTCCGGAGATCGGGCTGGCCACTCCATGCGCATAATTGTTTCCTGTTGAAGATAATCATCTAGGATGCGAGCCCTGTGTGGTCTTGCGTTGTCGTCCTGTAACAGGAAAGCATCACCTATTGCTCCGGTATATGGGCGCACATAAACATCAAGGATGTCATCTCTATAAATCTGAGTATTCACAGTTACCCTTGGAAAGACATGGGGGTCTGTGCGTCCACCCAAAGAGATGCCACCCCAAACACAGACACTGCCTCTTCCGTATGCATCTCTTTCACAGATGTTTGACGGATGATGACGGGTTCTAGGTTCTCTTCATATCAAATAACGCCTACTATTGCTTTCTAGACTAAACCTGGGGTCATCCGTAAAGAGAACCGCCCTTCATTGATCAGTCGTCCAGTTGACATGTTGTCGTGCCCAATGAAAACGGTCCCTCCTATGGCGTGACGTGAGCGGCACACAAATGGCTGGTCGCCTCGCATACAGACCATCTTCGTGAAGCCTTCTACGCACAGTTGACGTTGACACGAACCTTCCGGTGGCTGCAGTAAAGGAGGATCTAAGAAGAGTCGAAGTAGCGGTTCTATTCCTACGTGCACATAATGTCAAATATCAATCATCGGCACTCGTCGTAGCAGTTGGCCGTCCTTGGCTGAACCTCCTAGATGCCGAATCTGTGGTTTGAAATTGCCTCCAAAGTCTATGAACCACAGAAGGACTCACATTTACCCATCTGG